ATCCATTTTTTCTGAGGTATGCCAAAACGTTCAAAAACTTCTGAAACGTCAAGATATGCAAAAAAATTAATTTTCCCTACCATTTACCTACATGAAGTTAAAAGTTTTTGATACGGGAAGTTCCAGCAATTTGGCACGATGCCATGCACCACTAGTTCATTTATTTGTTCATAAGCAAGCCGTAATCAATGATTATAAATATTATTTCAGGCTCTTTTTAAGCTTATTCTTAATTAATACTTAAAGGAAAGTAATTTTATTACCAAATATTCATAGTCGCTACACAACGTTCGCTTCAGAAAAAAGAGCTGAAAGAAAACATTCGAACATTAAACAATATTCATCATCAAGTTCATTATAATAAAGTCTATTAAACTCAAAATTCTAGCACAAAGTTGAAAGTTATACTGATTTAAAACTGTAAAAAGGAATAAGAAACTAGCGAAATTAAATAAATAAAAAATATCATAAAAATAATACAAAAAAAACAGAAGATCAAATGGTCAGACTACATATAATAGATAAAGGATTTGAGTTTAATGCAAAGCTCAAAATTTTTGTACAAAATTGAAAGTAATACCGATTTAAAACCGTAAAAAGCAACGAGAAACTAGCAAAATTAAATAAATAAAAATGATCATAAAAATAATACAAAAAACACGGTTGTACAGTAGATCAAATAGTCAGACTAAAAAGATAAATTATTCAAGTTTAATGTAATATGTAGGAAGTACTTTTTTGTTGAGAAATGAATAATTTACTTTCTGAACAATCAATAGATCAAACCTGATTTTTTGAAATACATCTACATGTTGGTGGTGAAAAATATTAAGTTGTCAACTAAATAAGTGCGTCTTATTTGGGTTTAAATGTATAGTTCTCGTTGAAATGTGGAAAATTTATGTGTTGTAAAGTCTTATGTATATTTAAAATTATATTCAAGGGTTATAAATGAATGGTTACAAATGTTATCATCAGCTATTTATGGTGATGAAGCCTTAAAAGAGGCATTGTCTAAATTGATTTGCCAAATTTTGTTCTTGCGATTTTTTACTAAAAGATAAAAAAAAAATCTCTAGTCGTCCAGTTGAGGTTGATTATAATTGTCTACTTTGAACTGTTCTTATCAACCTGAATAATCAATTCAATTCTGATGTCTACATTAAACTAACAAAAGTAAACAATGCAGTTGAAAAAAAAAGTAGCCTGAATTGGAAAATCGAAACGATGACTTAGGAAGCGTCCATTAATCACGTAACGTTTTTAGTAAAATTAAAAAATTTACAGTTTTTTTACGTAACTTAAAATACACTTGATGTTTGCTAGGGAGGGGGGGGTAATTTTGAATATCACCATGTATTACCAAAATGGTCCAAAAATCCTTAAAAACTTGCTCACGTGATTAATGGAGGCTCCTTTATTCCATTATCGACATAACATAACTTAGGCCTATCGGCAAAAATTATTTGTTGTTATGTTTTGCCAAATCCACCCTATAGTCCTGACTTTACACAATCTCATTATTTTTAGTTTCTCTTTTTTACAAAACTTCTTGAATTTGAAAAAAAAATCAATAATGTCGATGGTGGATGAGAAGGATCCTCAGTCCATGGTTTGCCTCCATGAGCCATAGATGCCTAAACAGAAAAATTCATTAATCGTGACTATATATTTAAAATTTAAGTAAAAGAATATTACCCTCATTTTATTTGGGCTTCCTCTTTCTTTCCACATTTTGTTCAAATGCTCTAAAACATATTTCTCAATCTGTTCTGGTTCTTGATTTGGCACAATTTTAATAGAAAATTTGCCATTTACTTTACGTGGAATCACAGTTTTTTGTCCAGGCTCACTAAAAGCACCTACAAATATAAATTTAATTAATTGATTAAATAAGAGTCCTTATAAAAATATGTAATTTTAAAACCTTCTATGCCATGAAGAGACAAGCTTGTATATCTCCATCTATGCCTCAAAATATCAGTTTTTACATTATTATGTAATAAACATTTGCTTCCAATATCATTTATGAAATATACATTCAAATTTAGATTGTATCGCAAACAAATTGTACCTGATTCAATTTTTTGTTAATAAAAACCAGAAGCTTTATGAAAGTTGAATAATGATGTAGCTTGACAGTGACAAAAAGTCAATGTTCAAAATGGGCAATGCATTTCAAAATAAAGTTAAGGGGGTCTTCCTATGTGACGGCCTGTTTTTTAGGGATATTTTAGAATTTTTTTTCTACGACCAGTAAATAGTTAGAGCTTCAAGTTTTTTATCATAGCATGGAAAAAATGCTATTGATTATCTAATAAAAATCCACAGTTACTTAGTTGCTAACCAAATAGATAATACACTGCGTACATAATCAATTAAATTAAATTATTTTCTGGGGTTAATTAATTAAGAGTTTTATTATAGTTAGTGTTTATATTTTATTGTCGTTTTTGTATCAAAAACTGGCTCTATCCCTGGCAATTCTAACACGCGAACAGAGAGCGTAGAGTCGACGCATTTGGTGCTTTGCTCCGTCTTTGTCTGGCGCTTCCTAGGGCGCTGTTGATCGAAGCGATTTCTTCGGTCAGAAGACCTCCTCGCGCGAGGATATCTTTCACAACTGTAACTTTTCATTTAAAATCATTCGATTATAATAATATATTTATATACAAATATATTTTATTGAAATAGTTGTACAAAATATTTTGGACGATTAAAAATAAATTAAACCAAACTTAAGTTTGATGTAAATATATATATTTTATGTTAGTGTGAGAGTAAAGATACAATATCAATCAACGCTGTAACAGCTGACGTGAATATTCAAGCTGTGACACCTGATGTGCCTGGTCTGAAAATTGAGACTGTAGTGCTTGTTAATATAGTGGTTATTTATGATGTGAAATGAACAGTGCTGAACTTGGTTTTCTAATCCCTAAGAGTATTATATAGCCATCCGGCATATATCATTTTCCATTGTTTGGCCCCACAATCTGTTCGTATGTGGAACCGCGTGCGCAGGAAGGGAGTGCATTATATTATAATATGGTCGTTTGGGCTATGCAGGCCCCGATCGTTCCAGTGAGTTGCCCGCTCGGCATACCAAAAAGTCCTTCGTTTCATAGTGGTTTGGATTTGATTGCTGCCGAATTTCAGGCCCACAACGCAACCTCTGCCATCATGAACGGCCACAGCGCGAACGGAGCGGGTTCGGTTAGCAACGGTTACGGAAATAATGGTTACAAAAATCAACATTTCAGTTGCAACAGTAATGGGAATAATAACCATAGTAATAATAAGCATGTGGCTAGCAGCAATGGTCTGAGCGGGTTTAATGTCAATGACGATCCTAATGGATATAGAAGAAAGACGCGGGATCGCAACGTGCATTTTATACCTCCTAACGGACATCCACCTGCACAGTTGCCACTATTGAGAGGTTCGTCATTTGAAGAAATTTAATTATTGAACATTGGCAGAACGAAGGAATTACCTATCATAATTTTAAATACAAAATCATGTTGACTAGGAAAACCGCATAATGATTTTTCGCTTCATTTTAGTTTTATTCTTGATTAGTGGTAATTGACTTCCCGAAGGAGAAATTTGTTTTCATCGAAAAATCCGACGCGCTAATTTTATGTTTTCTCGACTTTTCAAGCCATTCTGAATCGAATGAGACCAAATTTAGAAAGAGTATGTGTGTGTGTGTATGTGAACAGATTTTTTGCCGTAAATCGACGTTTTCTCCCAAAATGGCTGGACCGATTTCAAAAATTTAAAAGCCATTCGATGTATCTCAATGAGGACTATCGTTTGTCAGTTTTGTGCGACGATCGGCCAAGCCGTTTCTTTATAAATCGCAAAAAAGTGAAAAAAAATTCGTCCACGTTTAAGCCCGCAATTCTGAACCGATTATGAAAATTCAAAAACCGTTCGAACGATATTGGTTGGGAATCGTGCTGATTAGTTTTTGGTAAAGATCGGCCGGGCCGTTTTCTTGTAATCATATGTAAAAAAATTTTCGACGATTTTTATGAATTTTTTTTATGGTAGATACCATAGTCTTATAGATCATACTAAAATATTACGGCCCTACGACAACTCGTTTAGCTTTAAAAATTCGTCAAAGTTTGCAAAAATTGGTATCGTTTTTTTGGCATTTGTCAAAATCAGACTTTTCATCGACGTTTGCTCAAAAACGCCTGAATCGATTTCAGAAATTTAAAAGCCATTCGATATATCTCAATGAGCACTATAGTTTGTCAGTTTTGTGAGACGAACTGCGCCAAGCCGTTTCTTTGTAATTTGAAAAAGAATGTTAAACTTTACGTCCATATTTAAACTCAAACTACCGAATCGATTTTGAAAAATCAAAAACTGTTCGGAAGATATTAGTTGGGAATGATACTGATTAGTTTTAGGTGAAAATCTACCGAGCCGTTTTCTTGTAATTAACTGTTGAAAAAAATTGAAGCCGATTTTTATGGAACTTTTTTTTAGCGATATATATCATGGTCTTATAGAACTTACTGAAATATTACGGCCTTACGACAAGTAGTTTAATTTTAAAAATTCATCAAAGTTTGAGAATTAGCTTAGCTTGAGAGTAGTTTTGTTGATGTTTGTTAAAATTAAAATTAGATGATTTACTTGGTATAACGATAGAGTACTTGGTCTTAATGAACGTACTAAACCATTAACGTCCTACGCAAACTGGTTCAATTATAAAAATTATTGATTTGTGAAAATTTGCTTTTAGAAAATACTCCGAGTTAACGTGTTCGTTCGTTTTCAATTATGTGTAATAAATCCACTCGGAATACTTTTAATCGCTCATAAAATAATTTATTTTTTATCGGTTAAGTCGATTATTTACACATATCGGGAAGTTCATGTAATTTGCCTCAAGGCTAAATACCACTACCAACTAGTTTTAGTTTTATTTCTGATTATTGACAAAATTATTTCATTATTGTGTATTTTTTACTTTGCAGAGGTGCCCGCGGCCGAGCGCGAGCACATGTTCATACAAAAATTGAGGCAATGTTGTGTTTTATTCGACTTTGCGAGTGAACCTCTCAGCGATCTGAAGTGGAAGGATGTTAAAAGGGCCGCCCTTCACGAAATGGTCGCCTACGTCACGCAGGAAAACCAAGTGCTGACGGAAGCCATATATCCAGAAGCCGTTAATATGGTAAAAGTCACAAATATTTAAAAATAGCACGTTTTGCTATTTTTATATTAATTGGTTAAGGGGGTGTTCTCGTCTAGAGGTGTGATTTTTGTGTGATTTTTGAAAGCCTTAAGGAGCACAACTAGTGTAACCGCCTAAAAAAAATGTGATTTTTGGGAATTTATATTAAAAAAACTACTTTATCAATCATTTCAAAATTTTAGGAATATATTTATACATGTTTTAAGAATACACAGTAAATTTTTTTGAGAAAAAAATTAAATATTTTTTAAGTTATCAACGATCTCCAACGGCGCGACAAAAAAGGCCCTTCACTGCTGCTGTGATTCCGGCCTTCTACGTGGATAAAATTTAAAAAAAAAATCTTGTTAAACTAGATAATATTGTCTGTAAAATGAACTACGATGAAGAAAAAAAATCAAAAATTGACAAAACGACGGCGTTTTTTAAAAAAAAGACGAATTTTACCCAAAAATTTTGGTCGTTTTTGGACTGCCAAAATTCGATTTTTGATGCGATCAAATAATCGATAGTTCATTTTACGGAGAACTATATATATAGAACATATAAAAAAAATTGATAGTGATCGGATCATTTGTTTTCAGTAATTGCTGCAGCAAATTCGGAAAATGCTGTTTCCAGAAAAACGCGTTTAAAGATTAAATGATAGTTATACTATATATTATATATATACTCTTTAAATGGATGTGACTCAAAAACTATTTAAGATATCGATTTAAAATTTTGCTATGTTATTTTTAAAGATATAACCTATCGAAATATGGAAAAATTGAAAATTCGATTTTTTGAAAATTTCACACTAGTTGTGCCCTTTAAACAATATTTTAGGGGGAGTCCATTAATCACGTGAAGTTTTTTTAGGGTGCGGTGGTGAGTTTTGACAAAAAATTACGAAATATCACGAGGGGGTGAGAGGGGTATAGTAACATATCATGTGTATTTATTCTTTACTTGAATTTTTTTTCAAAATCCAAACATTTGCAAAAAAAATCAAAAATTTTACCATTGGTTCTCGTAACTAAAAATACACGTGATGTTTGGGGGGAGGGGGGGGGGGTAATTTTGAATATCACCACTAGTGTTTATACAAAAACCGACATTTCAGAAAACCGGTTTTCGAATTTTAATTTCACTAAAAATCCGGTTTTAACCGGTTTTCGAATTTTATATAGAAAATAAATTTTTGTTCGAGTATTCTGTAATTTATCCGAAAATTTAGTGTAATTTAGAATAGTATTTGATTGAATTTATTTATTGTTCAATTTTATGGATAGTAAACAAAATTATTTTAATTTTAATTAGTAGAACTAAAAAATAATAGTTTATCTTGATTAAATAACTTTGAATCGTTATTCATGCATCATTTTCACATATAAGAATGAAAATATTGTTGTGATAGTGAAAGGAGAGTTTTCGAATAAATAAAAATAATACATTTCTAAATAAAAAAAATTCATTAAAATAAAAAATTAAAGTAAAAAAATATTAAATGCATGTTAATACATACTTGTTAATATTAATTTTAGTTTTAAAAACGATTAAGCTAAACTCGGGTATTGTCTGTTCCGAGCAATTTTAATTAATTAATTTTAAACATTCTAATTGTTTTTTTTGTTTAATAAAATATGATTTCAAAAAACTGAGAACATCTATCGAGTTGCTACTTAGATGTGTCCTTTGTTTACTCACAAAATTTTCCGAAATAGAAAATACTCTCATACTAGCGACCAAATTATGCTTAATTATTTTTAAAGCCTGATATAATAATTCTAAGTTTTTTATTATTTAATTTGTGGCTTCTAGGGTTTGAAACTTTTTTTTTAAGTTTGAGTAGAGGAAGTTACTTCTTCAAAAATAAGTCACGCTGATTGAAATTAATATATACACTGGTATAAAAATCTAAATTAATATATACAAAACATTTCTGGCAACCATTTCAGACTGATAAGATATCAAATGCTAATGAACCGATATATGATTTCAAGAATCAAAACGCTTTCAGCTATCTTTTATATTTGGCTATATTTGTCATTTTCCATTTATGCAGTGAAAACCGACTTTTTTCATTAAAAAACCGGTTTTCGAATCCCATAATTTTCGCCAAAAAAAATGGTTTTTAAACCGGTTTTTGAAAACCGACAAACCCTAATATAAATCCGTTCATTCTTCGATATTTGTTCCAACAAATATAAGCATGTGTTAGGATTTTTTTTATTAACATATTTCTTTTATTATTTTATTAGTTTGCTGTGAATTTGTTCCGAACGTTGCCCCCTTCGTCGAATCCCAATGGCGCCGAATTCGATCCTGAAGAGGACGAGCCAACCTTAGAAGCATCCTGGCCTCATTTGCAACTCGTTTATGAATTATTTCTACGTGTTCTAGAATCGCCCGATTTTCAGCCTAATTTGGCCAAAAAATATATAGATCACCAATTCGTTTTACAGGTAAGCGATAACGTGATAGTTGAAAACGTATCAAATATATTAAATATTACTTAATGTGCTATATATTTTTTGCAGTTATTAGAATTATTTGATTCTGAAGATCCACGGGAACGGGATTTGTTAAAGACTGTTTTACATAGAATATATGGAAAGTTCTTAGGTTTACGAGCTTTTATTAGAAATCAAATCAATAATGTATTTTACAGGTAAGTTTTAGTTTATTTCCATATATTATATACCTCTTTTTAACTTTCCGAAGTTTGTTTTCATAAAAAAAATCCGATTCGCTAATTTTATGTTTTCTCGACGTTTCAAGCCATTCTGAATCGAATGAGACCAAATTTGGAAAAAGTATGAGTGTGTGTGCGTGTGTGTGTGTGAGTGAACAGATTTGTTACCGTAAATAGACATTTTTTCATAAACGGCTTGACCGATTTCAAAAATTTAAAAGCCACTCGATGTATCTCAATGAGGACTATCGTTTATCAATTTTGCGCGACGATCAGCCAAGCCGTTTCTTTGTAAATAGCAGAAAAGCGAAAAATCTTTCGTCCACGTTTTAGCCCGCAGTACTGAATCGGTTTTGAAAATTCAAAAACTGTTCGAAAGATATTGTTTGGGAATCGTTATTAATTTTTAGTAAAGATCGGTCCGGCCATTTTCTTGTAATAGGTGTTAAAAATATTTTTTTGACCATTTCTAGGAATTTTTTTTTGATGGTAGATACCATAGTCTTATAGATCATACTAAAATATTACGCCCCTACGACAAGTCGTTTAATTTTAAAAATTTGTCAAAGTTTGCAAAAATTAGTATCATTTTTTGGGCGTTTGTCAAAGTTAGAACTTTCAACGACTTTTCGAAAGATATTGGTTGGGAATGATACTGATTAGTTTTAGGTAAAAATCTATCGAGTCGTTTTTTTGAAATTAACTGTTGAAAAAAAATATTTTATCTATTTTTATGAACCTTTTTTTGACCATAGATATCATGGCCTTATAAAACAAACTAAAACGTTACGGCCCTACGACAAATAGTATAATGCTTAAAATTCATCAAAGTTTGAGAAAATATTATATAATATTTACATAGTAAAAATTGTAATTTAGGGAAGAGCAAAAATAACTCTGTAAACATTTCAAATAAATAGGTCCATAAGAAGTTTGAGAAAATATTATACTCAGAAGTTGTAAAAAGTATCAAAAGTTGCTTTTGAAAAAAAAAGCCATTTGGCGGTCGAAAATCAGTTATTTCGTACAGTATGAATCAACCGACATGAATGAGTATCATCAAAAACTTAAAAAAAAATTCAAAATTTTTGAAATCTTCAAAAAAAAAATTAAAATTTCATTATTTTCAAAAGAGGCAATATTTTCAATATTCAAAATTTTCAAATGTTTTCTTTCTGAGCTTTTATAAATTGTAAATTGCTATGCACGATGCTATGCACCACTAGTCTTTTTTTCTATACTATAATTGATTTATATTTCAGATTTATTTATGAAACTGAACATCATAACGGAATAGCTGAGTTGTTAGAAATTTTAGGTAGTATTATTAATGGTTTTGCTTTGCCATTGAAGGAGGAACACAAACAATTCTTATTGAAAGTTTTATTACCTTTACACAAAGTGAAAAGTCTTTCCGTCTATCATCCGCAACTTGCATATTGTGTTGTTCAATTTTTGGAAAAGGATCCTAGTTTAACTCAACCTGTGATACGGTATTTTTTTAGAATATATATAAAATTACTAATAAGTTTGTATCTATATTAGTAATTTGCATTTACAGCTCTTTGTTAAAATTTTGGCCTAAAACGCATAGCCCCAAGGAAGTAATGTTTTTAAACGAGTTAGAAGAAATATTGGATGTCGTCGAACCTGCAGAATTTCAGAAAGTAATGGTTCCTTTATTCAGGCAGATAGCAAAGTGTGTCTCTAGTCCACATTTTCAGGTATACTATTTCAAAATATTAAAATAACTTCGATATACTATAAGTTAATATTTTTGCAGGTTGCTGAAAGGGCTCTATATTATTGGAATAACGAATACATTATGTCATTAATGTCGGACAATTCCACAACTGTGCTGCCCATAATGTTTCCTTCGTTGTATAGAAATTCAAAAACGCATTGGAACAAAACTATTCACGGGTTGATCTATAATGCCTTGAAATTATTTATGGAGATGAATCAAAGATTATTTGATGAGTGCACGCAGAATTATAAGCAAGAAAAGCAAAAGTAATTGATAAATGTTAATATAGGGTCCGTCAGATAATTATTTTTTTTTGAAAATGCTATATATAAAGTACTGAATATTTTCTCAATTTAAATCTTTTCTATTTGAAAGTGCAATCCTTCTGGTTAATAATCGAAAATAATTTCATTGAAATGGCTTTCTAACTTTTTAATGGCAGTCAAAAATTCTAAATTGCTACCAATAAAAAAAAAAGTTATATTGCGGACCCTTTACATAGTATAATAAATTAGACCATTTAGATTCGGATACCGCCACTCCGACGGCAAAATTCGTATAAATGTCAGAATTCGCGAGTGGAAAGTGTTAACATATTAAAATTTGCAAAAATAATAAGAGAAGTATACTGATAATTTAAAAAAATTGAATATTCAAGATTTCGTAGCTTTTTTAACTTCCCGTAGGGTAAGTTAGAGTAAAGGGCCGAAAATCGAAATTTTTTTTTTGCATATCTTCACGTTTCAGAGGTTTCTGAACATTTTGGTTTACCTCACAAAAAATGGATGTGTGTGTATGTTTTGTGTTTCGTAGCTTTTTCAACTTTCTCTAGGGTAAGTTATAGTAATGGGCCCAAAACCGAAATTGAAAATGTTTGCATATCTTCACGTTTCAGAGATTTTTGAACATTTTGGCATACCTCAGAAAAAATGGATGTGTGTGTATGTTTTGTGTGTCCGCATTCGTCCACGTTTTCGGGCGCACGGATCAACCGATTTGAATGGTTCAAAAAACATACGATTCCTATTGATAGGGAGAGATGCTGATTAGTTTTTGGCAAAGGCAGGTCCAGCCGTTACGGAGATACGGAGCAGAGAGTGCAGTGTTAGATTTGACTGATCCAAAAAACATTCGATTTGTAATGATTGTGAGAAGTGGTGATTAGTTTTTGGCAAAGGCAGGTCCAGCCGTTTCGGAAATACAGAGCTAAATGTACAAAATATGGCAGTTTTTGAGATAACTAAGCATCCGATTTTTCAAAAAAACTTTTTTTTTGTATATCGAAAATAATTCAGATTTTATTTTTATTTTAAGTTATAGTAATCGCAAAAAAATCGAAAATGAAAATTTTTATATATCTTTACGTTTCAGAAGTTTCTGAACATTTTGGCATACTTTAGAAAAAATGGATGTGTGTGTGTGTTTGTGCGCGGATACAAATTTTCGTCGACGATTTCGGGAACACGGTTTCAACCGATTTCAATTATTCAAAAAACGTTCGATTTCTATTGATAATGAGACATGCTGATTAGTTTTTGGCTCAGGTAGGTCTAGCCGTTTCGAAGATACGGGGCAAAAAATGCCAAAAACGTAAACTCAGTTTTTAATAGAACGGAGCGTCCGATTTTAATAATTCAAAAAATATTATACTTGAATTGACGAACTTGATTGAAGAACTGATTAAATTTTTGGGAAGGCAGGTCTATCGGCTAGATAGATCTAGTAAAAAAGTAATGAAAGTGCCATTTGGCGGTCAAAAATGAACATTAGACATATGCACATCAAATTATCACATATTTTATAGAGATTTTCAGAATAAGAATGAATTTTGCTTACATTCCTATGGGTTCCGTACCAATTTTTATCCGTTAGACGGCGACGCGGCGCTTACGCGCTTCGATATTTCGTCTTTGTATAGCTACAGAACTGCGATTGCTTTAAAAAAAATCCAAATTTCTAAAATATTTCAAAATAAAAAAAAAATTATACAAAAGTTTTTTTTGCAAAAAAGTAAATTTTTTTCAAAAGTTTAAAAGTTTCTCAAAAATCTATGTTTTTTCAAACTTTAAAAAAATTTAATCTCTTTTTAAAAAAATTAAGTTTTGGTACGGGAAGTGCTAGCAATTTGCCTTAAGGCACGATTCCATGCACCACTAGTTAATTTATTCCTTTAGAGTCATTATTCATTGAATAAATATTTATTTAATGAATAAAATATTTATTTTATATTATAAAGGGACAAGGAGAGAACTCAACAACGTGAAGAATTTTGGAGTCGTGTGGAAAGCTTAGCCAAGACCAGTCCACATTGGGAAAAACTAATAAATTCTATAGATAATACAGGCGGTCAAGTCAATAACAGCCCTGATAATTTGCCTGATGGAGATCTCACATACGAAACACTGGAACAAGAAGCGAAAGAAGTAAGATTTTGAAATTAACACTATTCCTACCGACATTTCATGTTTACTATTCCTACCGGGACCGGTCAAATGACCGTTTTTGATTTTTCTATTAGTATTTTTCATATCAAACGTAATTGAATCGTCATCAAACTTCATGACTTTTTCTAATATGTGAGTATGATACATTTTTCAATGTAAATTTAAAACTGTCTTACCTACCGCGACCGGTCATTTGACCGGTAGTAGGAAAGACGATGTTCGGACGGCATTTTTTGTAGTAATTGTTAAGAATGTGATCGAACTTACAAGAAAATGTAAATTCAGAAGAATTTAGAATGGTAAAAACTGCCTTCTGCAAATTTATATGCATTTTTTCCAAATTCTGTATGCACGCTGCGCAAATGAGGCAAGGAGTATAAATATTGCACTTCTACGGTATACAAAGTGGGTTTTCTCATTTTTGCTCAATGTCTATGTCAGATTTTAACGAAGGAATCCAAACAACAAATTGATAGGTTTTGTTTTGAATTCAAAAATTGGTTTAACTACATTGACAGCAATCAAAATTGTTGTAAAAGACCACGTATTACTATCGACAAACATATATTTTCAACAAAGGTTAGGTGTAAATTTATTCAAGACATGTTCAACAATATTCAGAAGAACGTAGTGTAAAATTTTAGTAACTGTTCAAAATACAATGTAAATATAATTATGCCCAGTAAATCGCACAAATGGGGTGTAAAATTTTGATAACCATCCAGTTATACGTAGAAAACTGAGAATTTCTTTGAAGATTTATAACCAATGAAACCGTATTATCAAAATCGCTAGTACGATGTAAAAAAATTAAGTGTTTTTACCATTTTATTTATAGCTAAACTTTTAGTAAAAAAAGAAACTGTGATGGTAGGTACAATTGAAGCAATATAACAGCTGCATATACCGGTAGAACTAAAAATCAAGTACTTCATTCAAATAATATTTACAATTTTGAAAGCTAAGAAAGAAGATTCTAATTTTTACTTACATACAAATAATGTTGTAAAAATTACATTAATACGGGAGTCAATTCAATTGGTATTAGCGTTGTGTTTGGTGTAGATGTCATTCATAATGTAGTCAGAAATCATTGGGTAAAATATGAATTTTAGAGAGAATTTATCAAGGATTTACATTATTTTGTATTTATTCATGATAAGTCCATTGTTTTCACATAAAGAAATTACGGGAAGACGATGTACAAGGCAGGAACTTTCTATTCCAATTAACTTGCAGTATAGTTCCAATAAGAATTCAGAAAAAAATCAACTAAGTACAAGTACAAAACAGATTCCCTAAAAGAAAATATTCCAGATAATGTTTTAGAAAGATGATAGGGCGAACGAAATCAGCCAAAAACGTAAAAAATGCGTGTGCAGAAAATACACTCTAAGAAAAAAATCGTAAAAAATTGAATAAAACAGAATAAAATGTTGATTTCGCATTCTAAAATGAATGAAATATTTTGTATTTGTATTTATCAACTCTTAAACTAGCATTAACTCTTCATTCTATACTGAAAAATATAGATTTTGCATGACCGGTCGCGGTAGGAATAGTAAACATGAAATGTCGGTAGGAATAGTGTTAAGGGGGTCTTCCTATGTGACGGCCTGTTTTTTAGGGATATTTTAGGATTTTTTTTCTACGACCAGTAAATATTTAGAGCTTCAAGTTTTTTATCATTTATTAACACATATTTGGACAGTATAAATATAAAATTTCTGCTAAAAATATTCAGTCAAACTAGAGTTACAGCGCTCTGAACACCCCCGCCTCGAAAAAAAGAGAATCCACGATTCCGGCTGATCGGCGTATCTGAAAAAAATTGGATTTTTGATAGACATTTGAAATAAAAGTTGCAAATTAGGCGTTTTTTATTTGTTTTTTGCTATAAAAAAATCGAATTGAAAATTTTCGATTGATAATAGTTCATTCCATGCGTTTAAATATATTGAGTGTGCCCTGTAAATTTCAAGTAATTCGGTCCAGCCGTTTCTGAGATACAATGGAAAGTTTGAAAAAAACAGTTTTGAGAAAAACGCGTTTAAAGTTTCAAGTCCGTTAAAAACTATTGAAATTTCTCTTTCTTTTACCTGCTGTATCTTTAAAAAGACTTCGAATTTTCTAAAATCGCTTTACTACCGTACTCTAGACATGTTAAGGGAGCAATTTATGAAAAAATAATCGATTTTTTCAACCCATCACATAGGAAGACCCCCTTAAAAGGAATAGATTATAACTCTTTTTCTTATTTTAATTAATGTTTCATTATTAGATTCGTAATGTTCGCAACAAAGAAAAACCATTACTAAGGCGCAAATCAGAATTGCCGCAGGATTCGGGAACTGTAAGGGCTTTAAGTGAGCATCGAAGAGCCGATGAATATCTAACGACTCCACCTCCTGATAGTAACCATTGCTAGGAGGTATACATTCAAATATCATTCTTGTTTTATAAAAACTAACGAACTTGAAGAAGTTAATTCTAATATGTTTGTTTTTTTACAGCGTGTGTCTGTTATGATAGCCCTGCACCTGATTAATATTTCATGATGCAAATATATATATATATATATATATATATGTATATATATGTATATATATATATATATATATATATAGGGTGGTCCTTAAAATGGTCATTTTCGAATTTCCTTGCTCCCAGGGGCTCAAATGGTTCCAAATTGATAAAAAAACAATTCTCTGAAAGATTTAGCTCTTTATTAACGTTTAGATAGAGCGCAATTCAATCAAAGTTTTGTATGGAAAGAGCATGGAAAAAATTTTGAAAATTAAAAAAAAAAGTTTTATTTTATAATGAGTTTTATTTATTCATTTGTTCGCTAAATTATATCTAAAAAACATTTTTAAGGTTTTTGAAAATGTTTCCATGCTATTTCCATACAAAACTTTGATTGAATTGCGCTTTATCTAAACGTTAATATTAAGAGCTAAAACTTTCAGAGAATTGTTTTTGTCAATTTGGAACCATTTGAGCTCCTGGGAGCAAGGAAATTTGAAAATGACCATTTTAAGGACCACCCCAATTATATATATATATATATATATATATATATATGTATATGTATATGTGCGCATTTCAAGTGTTTTAGGGTCATCATGAAGTATTCCTAACAAATATCAAAATATATAATTATATTTGAAAATTTACGTAAAATGTTATATGTTTAGTATTTTATAATATTGACTTCATTTTCAAACATATTGTTCATTCATCAAAATCAATTATAATATTTAGTAATCTATTCAAATTATATATTATATATTGACTTTCAAATATTGCATTTGTTGTAGAGTTTTGTTTTCTAACTTGTTTTTTTTTGGTTACTGTAATATAGAAAATTGTTTTATGATCACATATATTTCTGAAAAATTAATCGGATTATATGAATTTATGAAACAGTATCATTTTAATTCCAAACTAAATGATGAAGTTATCTTCATCTAATATTAATTATAGCTTTATATAAAGTCGTTTCTGTAAATATATGTATAAATTAGAATTGTTAAATTATCACAAATACAAATGAAACAAAAACTATTCTTATATTAACATAATTTGACATTATTGTTTTGATAACTTTGTATAATGTGCAATAGTATGTAATGTAGTTTTGTTACTGTTTATATAGATTTATAATATCAATCTCATTAAATAAAGAAAGATCTATAGATCACAATTTCTATAAAACAAATTTTTAGTTTTTTTTTTAACTTCTCATAGGGTAAGTTATTGTAATCGTCCAAAGATGGAAATGGAAAATTTTTACATATCTTCACGTTTTGAAGTTTTCTGAACATTTTGGCATACCTCAGAAAAAATTGATGTGTGTGTGTATAGGTACAATTTTTCGTTCACGTTTTCGGGCGCACCGATCAACCGATTTGAATGATTCAAAAAACATTCGATTTCTATTGATGTGCTGATTAGTTTTTGGAGAAAACGAAGCGTCGGCTTCGAATGATCCAAAAAACATTCAATTCGTAATTACGGGGAGAAGTGTTGATTAGTTTTTGGCAAAGGCGGGTCCAGCCGTTTCGGAGATACCGAGCTAAATTTGCAAAAAATGGCATTTTTTGAGAGAGCTAAGCGTCCGGTTTGAATGATTCAAAGAACTTTCTGCTTGTTTTAACAAAATAATCACTTGGAAAAAAATTATTTGTTTCAATTTTTTTTTCAAATTTTTTTTGTTCCAGCAACTTGCCTCTAGACACGATGCCATGCACCACCAGTTCTTTCCTTTTATTTAAACGTCCATGTCAGGAGAGTTTTTTTTTCTTACATAAACTTGCAAGTAAAAATCATTGTACGTATCATTTGACACTTTTTGTGAGCCTGTAATACTTTACTCTTTTACATAATTTTAAGTTTTCCTGAATCTGTTTAGCAATGATGGGTATTGGTAAGTACATCCTCAAACATTTTTCCAAATATTTTATTTCTAAAGCGTCTTGAAATGTTGCTGGTCTGTCACTATCTCCAAAGATTTTGTCCAGTTCTTGGATAACACGATCCTAAATAGAAAAAAATTATATATATTATATATATATATATATATATATATATATATACCTGGATGTGTTGATGGATTCCCAACAAAGACAAGAAGAAACTGCTGCCTGCAGCAGTCGTATCGTCTCCCTAAAAATTTAAAACAATATTTTATAAAAATTTAAAAACTGGAAAAAATAAACATGTTATTTATTGTTCACTACATTGTTCTATTGTACTATTTATTGTTCATATATATATATATATATATATATATATATATATATATATATGCTTTGGTTTGTTGTCTATGAATTTGTTTCGATACTTGTAAAATTTGTACATGATGGTGACTATTAAGTATAATTCTTATCATAGTTAATAAGTTCTAGCAAAATCTAAAGTAAGAGGTATATACTAAGAGCCCTTAAGAATATAGTTAATGATGAATACTTGTATATTTTATAAACCTAAATAAATGCCATTAATATCTACTGATTCGGATATTTTTATTATTAGTTTTATATTTCAGGTCTTGGATAATTATATATTATATTTCAAATTCTGTATCAATTAATCATCAAGGTTCCAGTTATTTTTTTAATTAAGATAATCTTTTAATTCAGATATAATTTATTTATCGCAAAAATCAAATCATTCACTAATTATGTACTTTCATGAAAACTGATAATTTAATTACCATATATTTGAATTTCGCGCTTTAAATTGCACAAGAGGTGTCAGCCATTCTGACACATGTTGACAACTTCAATGCACTCGATTGTCAAACAGATTTCGCGATTAACATGTGCTAGGTTAATTAACGTTTTTTTTTAATTAAATCCTTGATTAGTTTTAATTAATTTATGCATCAAAACGTGTAATTAATTCAGTAGATCATTTTGATATAATAAATTTATCGTGAAACGTTAATTAAAAGCCGAAAAAATGGATATGTGTGGAGGTGCCTTGAATAGTTTGATAAGTGTCTCTTTCAGGGTCTCCATTTTGAATCAATTTTATTATTAAACAATTCATTCACAGCGCCAATGTATCCTTTAATTATATACATGCAAATATCAATAGTATAATTTATATATGTGCTTTTGTAGGTTATTAATTCATTTACAGCGCCAGTGTATCCTTTATTTATATATATGCAATTGTAAAGTGTATAATTTATATATATGTTTTTGAAGGTTATATTTGAGAACTTCCAACACATATCTCTTTATATCGAATTCTAAATTCACGAAAGTCTCTAATGTAAGTCGTGTGTCGTGTATTGTGTAAAGACTTTACTCGGACAATTGCAATAGGTCAAATTGACTTGTAAAAGACTTAAAGTTATGCAGTGGTTCTAAAGTAGTGATTTTGTGTCGAGTACTTGAGATTTCTGGCGGATGCTCTAGAGGTGGTTTGTGTATTGGATTTGTGTTCTGCGAGCTGCTATAGAGGATATCGAACAATGTAAGTGCAAAGCATGTTTTATATAAAGCGAGTCAGAAGAAATATTTCTGGAATTAATATACAGGCATTTATCATACTACATCTGATATGTAGTACTTTATTTTAAATATTCAATATGTAATTCTTCTGTATATATATATATATATATATATATGTGTGTGTGTGTGTATATAAATGCATTAGGTTTTTCTGAGTTTTGAATTTAAAGCAGTCAAATAATTTTGAAAATCTTTATTTCGATACATTATTGTTTGTCATCTCCATAAAACTATGATTTGAATAGACAAAATAAATAAAAGAGAACAGAGTTTACAATTATTGACCGACTTTGTATTATATGCTACTTTATGCTTGTAATAATAACACTTTTTATTAAATATGTATTTAATGCTTGTTTTTCATATTAAATGAAATGAATAAATGAAATTGATTGGAAGATTTTTTGAGAACTTGTCCCTTTGTTATCCGATATCATTATAAGGCAGCCTGTGTATATTTTAGTGGAATATTTTCTGGCTCGTGCATTATTAATATAGTTGTATACATATATCTGCTGAAAATATTGTTTATATTATAATAATTGAGTCAATATCAATTTTTCAATAGGGTGTACTTTATTAATTTTTAATATAATACATAAAAATACATTTTTTTTTTGTTAATTCATCAACAACTATTATGCTAACGAAAGATTTTAAAATAATTTGGCAGACATGTGTGTAAAAGATGTTGTTCTTATTTAATTTGCTATGGGGAAAACATGTTGATTCAGTTTTTTTTTATTTATTTATACAAGTGCCTTTTATGAATTCTTTTATTCTATAAATAACACTATTTTGTGTAGATTTCAGAATTCTTATACATTAAATTTTTGTTGCTAAATGATTAGTTAACCAATACAGCTTTTTGTATGCTTCGATTACTTATTTGTTGAAGGGGCCCTAGCACCTTACCTTAAGTAACTCCTAAATTGATGGTATTTTGTTACAAATTACAAGTCACACAAATTTACTTTGTTACAAAAATCTCTTTTTTATTACACCCTTGTTCATTATTATACAGAAAAAATATTTGTATTTGTATTTGACATTTCCGGTATCAAGAATCATGTGTTTTTCCCAAGCGATACTGACTGCATGAATATTCTTATTTATGGATAACACGATTGTGTGGTTTTGATCAAATTCTTTCAAATATCTAATTGAATTGACTTACCAAATTGTTAATTAGATGCAGCTTTAAAAGTCTTTTACTGTAGTTTTATTTTAAATTATTCAATTATATCGCTGCATAGCTAAATGATAGATTTTATTCTTTTATTGCTAAAACCAATTTTGATCAAGACATGCAATCAAAGTTTCAAAGAGTTGACTTGAATGATTAGACAAAGTTTAATTTTTTTACAAGTTTATTATTCGATTCAAGTTGTAAAAAATTATTTAACTCGATTTCTAAAGGATAAACAATCAGCCTTATAAAGTTTTGAAGTTTTAATGTTCAAGTTGAAGTTTTTAATGTTCAAGTTTTGAACATTTTTTATTATTTCATTTTACAAGTTTTATTAATTTTTTTTTTTTTTGGCTTTTTCCAATAATTTGTATATTATTCAAGTCAGCTATAATTTGTTTTTGTCTCGATTAATTGTAAAGGTTTCACATGTTTTATCAAGTCGTATAAACAATTTTGATTCGATTAATATCATTTCATTTCATCGATTAATTAAATAATTCTCTCGAATAATTTTTTTTTTCTAAGTCCAAATTTTGATTTATTTTTTTCGAATATTTTTTTTTTTTTTTTAGTCCAAAATATCTGATTATAATTTTTTCGAATAATTTTTTTTCTAAGTCCAAATTTTCTGATTATATATTTTTTTCTAAGTAGATAATTTTTTTTTCTAAGTCCAAATTTTCTGAAACCTTTTCAATTAAGACAGACGAGTTATTTATGCATGCTGTATTATCCCAAAGCCAACATTCGAATGAATGAGGCTCACATTGAATATTTCACAACGAGAAAATTTTATTGGGGCAAAGTTAAATATTTTAACTAAGTCCCAGTAATTTTTTTCTCGTTGTGAAAATTTCAACGTGGACCTCATTTCATTCGAGTGTTGGTTTTGGGAATTGGTGTGAGGGAACACTAAAAAACATAAAAAAGTTTCAACGCTGAACAGAAAAGAGAAAAATTGACCTGGGACTTAGGGGGGTTTTTTTTAGGCTCTCCACCTCCCCTTCCTCCTCCTCCTCCTCCTCTCACCCCTTTTTTTTCCCTTTTTTCCGCTTTTTTTCACATTTTTTTTCCTTTTTTGGTGTTTTTTTCGCATGTTGTGGTTTTTGGGTAGATTTTTGGGTTCGGCATGCATCTTCCGCAATGTGTCTCTCTGCGTGTAACCTCTCGCATCATGGACCTCTCGTTGACCATCACTTGGTGTGTTCGTTTCAGGACCCTTTGCGCTCGCCAACAGCCAGCCACCAGCACTGCTCCATTTTTTCTGCTTCAGAGTTCCATGTCGTCGCCTTCAGCTGGATTCGATCCGTCTCACCTTGTGCCTGCCTCCAGAGCGATTTCACCGAGTATGCGGTCACTTAAACCGCTCGGCTATTTAAGTTATTGATGATAAAAGTTATTTTTATTCCTATATTGTATTATATTGAATTTTAATAAAGAATATGTATCATACACATCTCTCTTATTCATCATCTGCCTCTACCCCCCTCTTTCCCCAGTTTCTTCCTCTACTTTTTTTTTTTTTTTCTTTTTATGTATCTCTCTTACAGTCAAGTGCGAACCTTGAATTTTTCAGAAATATTCTAAGTGTCAAGGTCGAAATGCGACACCTGAATTTAATATTTTGAACTAATATTTGATAATTATGAAAAACTATACATCCGATTTTTTGTGCCTCTTCTGGAATCGAACCGAGACACGCTGAGCAATCTTAGTGGTCACTTAACGATCTCGGCCAATTGGTTACATGAACCGCAGTCTTTTTTTAAAATATAAAGTGTTATTTTCAAACTGAAAGATATAAGTTTCCTAAAATGTTGTATGCCGAATGTGCGAATGGCCGAGGTCGTAAAGATGATACGGTTTATGCCAGAATGACAATTCGAGGTTTGTAAGTTCGAACCCCCATTTGACTGAAAAAAAATTATTTGGAACCAATAATTTTTCAAACTGTGGTAAATAAAATAAGACATTTAGATATAAAGTTATATATATTATTATGAGTGTCAGTATTTACAAAAATCGACATAAATATATATATATATATATATATATATATATATATATATATATATAGATAAAAAAAGGTAGGAGAAAGATAATTTTTAAAAATTCATATTTACGCCTGGTTAGCAGTAAACCAAACCTACTTTGGTGTAATTTAAAAAATCTTATTATTTTTTCGATAAAAAGACAGTCTATCAGGAGCACCAAAATTGGCCAAAATCGTGACTTTCAAATGCAATTTTAAGGCACTTAATGAATGAAATTAATAATTTTAATTAATGCTTTGTGTAGACTAAAGTACAATCTTTATACCAAACCAAAAAAAATACAAATTTATAATCGTCTTCATAGTTAAAATCAGCTTCAAAGTTGGCAATTTTTCAAACTTCAATTTGGTACCAAGGGCAGAAGAATTTTTTTTTCCAAAAACTATTTTCATATTC